TGGGAACAGGCTGTGAAGTGTGTAGGAGACACTACAATGGCTGCAAAAATTTGGCTCTAGAAAAGCTTTATCTAGAGGCAGTGTTTGGTTTGTCCCTTCTGGGCAACTGTAGAAACACAGTTGGCTCCATGGAAGGCGACCTGCAGCATCTGTAGATATAAAGGCTCTTTCTATTCTGTTCAGGTGAATATACACTAATTAAAACATACCTATACCATTTCTGACGATAGTTCCTCCTAAATGTTACACACTGGACCTTTTTAAAACATTTTGGTAAGATCAAGTGGTTGAAAGTCCCATAGCTGGCAGCAGTTTTTGGGAAGAAAAGGCCCCATGTCTGGCTCTATACAGTTTTAAAACTTACCTGTATATGTCTCTTTTTTGTACAGGGGGTGAATCTGTCTGGAGGTCAGAAGCAGAGGGTGAGCCTGGCCAGGGCTGTCTACTGTGACCGTGCTGTGTACCTGCTGGATGACCCACTGTCTGCAGTTGATGCTCACGTCGGAAAACACATCTTTGATCAAGTCATAGGCCCACAGGGACTGTTGAAGGACAAGGTTTGTATGATCTCAAGCTCAAAGCCCCTGTGAGCAAAAGCCTTTAGTGTTTCTATCGCCTCGTTTCATCGACTTTAAGGGAAATCTGACCGAATCGGACCTGGTGGCAGGCATTAAGAATAACTAGAGAAATAGTCAATCTCTCCAATGTTTGTGCCGACCTAGAATGAATACAGTAATGATTTACTGATTTTGAAATGGTACACCTTTTACAAACAAGCATGTTAAATGTGTGTGTATGTCTGCAGACTCGTGTGCTGGTGACCCATGGGCTGAGCTACCTGCCCCAAGCCGACCTGATCCTGGTCATGGTGGAGGGACAGATCACAGAGATGGGTTCCTACCAGCAGCTCATGGCCACAGAGGGAGCCTTCTCTGAGTTTCAGCGAACATACAGTGCTGTCGACCACACTGATAACGATGGTGAGACACACACATACACTGAGTGTATGTCATGGATGTCTGCTGGAAATGTAAAAATACAGCAGAGTATTTTATCATTTCATAATTGCAATGCTAAGACTAACAAAGTCTCCCCCTTGAACATTAACTGTGTTTTTTAGATGTTAGTTGTTTGTTGCAGTGGTGGCAGGTAATATTTAGGGATCAATCCTTTGTCATAAAAATTTTGTTTTTTTCTTTATTTAGAATCTCTACCAAAGAGTGGAACGAAAGGAATAGACAATGGCAGTGCGACTGCTCTTGCTGGGTGAGTGAATCTGGCACAGAGAAATTAGATATTAGATCAGGCTTTAGATACACAGACAATATACCTCTTATTAGAGGTAATTACTTGTTTGTTTGGCTTGTGGGATTTGTTAACCTTGCAAGGTAGCTGGAATCGCAAGATCACAAAATCATAAGATCAAGCTAGAATCCATCTTGCCAGGCTTAAATCTGTACGTCCTATGAGCAGCTACTGCACGAGCTGCAAGCGTGGTTTAACTCTATTGGTGTGTGAAAAGTGAATGTTTTCTCAAACAACAATTGCCACTGCTTAGGAGGTTAGCGTAGATGCTGCTATCAGTGATATCAGAACTAGGGGGTGTAGAATAGGTGTGTTGGGGTTAGGATTAAAGTTCGTTACAGACACCTTTTAGCTTCAGCTAATACCGCTTGGCTGTAAAAAGTAACACTTCCTTTAACGTTAGCTTCATACTTGCAAACCATATAACCAATGAATATAGTTAACCAGATAGAGCATACAGTATGTAGCAAACAAATGCTTACAGAAATGTATACTTAACACGTACGTGTGTGTGTGTGTGTGTGTGTGTGTGTGTGTGTGTGTGTTTAAACAAACTGAAATAAC